TAAAGCAACAGAGACAACTCACAACACCAACAACGCATTTGGCCCAGGAACTACTAAGGAATGTACAGTGCAGTGGTGGTTCAAGAAGTTTTGCAAAGGAGACGAGAGCCTTGAAGATGAGGAGTACAGTGGCTACCCATTGGAAGTTGACAACGACCAATTGAGAGCAATCATTGAAGCTGATCCTCTTACAACTACACAAGAATTTGCCGAAGAACTCAGTGTTGACCATTCTATGATCGTTTAGCACTCCAAACAAATTAGAAAGGTGAAAAAGCTCAAAAAGTGGGTGCCTCATGAGCTGGCCGAAAATCAAAAAAATCATCATTTTGAAGTGTCGTGTTCTCTGATCGTATGCAACAACAACGAACCATTTCTTAATCAGATTGTGATGTGCAATAAAAAGTGGATTTTATACAACTGGTGATGACCAGCTCAGTGATTGGACTGAGAAGAAGCTCCAAAGCACTTCCCAAAGCTGAACTAAAGGTCACAGTCACTGTTTGGTGGTCTGCTGCCGGTCTGATCCACTATGGCTTTCTCAATCCTGGTGAAACCATTACATCTGAGAATATGTTCAGCAGATCAATGAGATGCAACAAAAACTACAACACCTGCAGCTGGCATTGGTCAACAGAAAGGGCCCAATTCTTCTCCACGACAACGCCCAACCCACATGTTGCACAACCAACACTTCAAAAGTTAAACGAATTGGGCTGTGAAGTTTTGCCTCATCCTCCGTATTCACCTGACCTCTTGTCAACCAGCTACCACTTCTTCAAGCGTCTCGACAACTTTTTTTCAGGTACAAATCCGTAGGAAACTCCTTCTACATTTCTAAAATATAAATCTAAGGAACTTAGACATACCATTGTTTAACTACAATAGGTGAGGTTGATATTAAACCACTGTGCTGAATAAATGAACAGACACATCACATTTCTCATTTAAAAGTCCTAATTGTAAAAGATGAGAACTGGAGGCTGTGTTAGGGTGTCTTACCTGCCAGGATTTAGCTATTCTCCCAGTAAAACAGGTCCCAGGCAGAATCGTCGCAAGAGATTTGGAAATAATAGAGACAGAGACAAAGTGCAGTTTAAAGTGATGGGGGAGTCAGGGGTTCCCACGAGCCAGGAGGCCCTGAGTGAAATCTCACATCTGTATTTATTGTTATAGTAAGCAGTTGTCCTTGGTTAAAGAACTATGTGTACGGCTCATTTGTAAAGGTTTCAGGACTCCCCAAAGGTTTCAAGGGACCCTTACCTAATTCTGTCTACAAGAATAGACAGTTACAAAATTTTTCTAAGAGAAACATTTTAAGCCCTAAGTTAAGAATACAATGGAATATTACTCAATTATAAGAAACGACAGTGATCTGGCACCTCTTATACTTTCCTGGATTAAACTTAAGCCCATTATCCAAAGTGGGGCACCACAAGAGCAGAAGAACGGG